TCTCTCTCTCTGACACATACACACTCCCTCTCTGGTTCACTCTCTCACTCACACACACACCCGCGCGCGCGCACACACACACACACACACGCACGCACGCACACACACGCACGCACGCACACACTCACACACACACACGCGCGCGCACGCGCGCACACACACACACGCGCGCGCGCACGCGCGCACACACGCATTTTCTCCACCATTACAATTGTTTATACTAATCGCCACTGCTATATTATACTTTATACGTCACATATCACATCGCATTTACTTGCTATTAATCATAAGTCGGATATCTGCCATAAAAATATAGAGAGACACTAGTGTATTACTATTAGTCCTAACTAGTAAGGCTTTTCTATGTATGTTTGCAGATATTGCGATCGCAGCGCCATACGGCGGCAAGAGAGGGCGAGGCATCGTGTACATCTACCACGGGAGCAAGAAGGGTCTCGTTATACCAGCAGTACAGGTAACTCACCTGCAATCAATCACACCTGTAATCAATCACACCTGTAATCAAGCACACTTGTAATCAAGCACACCTGTATATTTACACGATCATTCTGCGAACATTTACCTTGTAATTACGTCTCATAAGAATCCAACTCTTTATTACCTACCGATCTACGCAACCTTTTAATCAACCTGTATATAAGTGCATTCTATTCCATTCCAGTCCAGTCAATTGCATCCCATCAGATTCCATACCATACCATTCCATTCCATTCTATTCTATTCTACATCTACGTCATGTTTCATGTATCGTGTTCGCAGGTGATTCTAGCCGAGGATGTAGGCAGACGACTTCACGCGTTTCGTACTCTCTTTCCATCCATTCCTTTCATCCTATTTTCACTCTATTCTATTCTATTCTATTCTATTCTTATTCTATTCTATTCTATTCTATTCTATTCTATTCTATTCTATTCTATTCTATTCTATTCTATTCTATCTATTCTACATCTACGTCATGTTTCATGTATCGTGTTCGCAGGTGATTCTAGCGAGGATGTGAGCAGAGCGACTTCACGCGTTCGGTACTCTCTCGCCGGAGCGCATGGACCTGGATGGAAACGAAAGTATCCAGGTACGCATGCGGATATGACGGTCAAGCTTGAATGACATCTGACTGATGTCTGAATGGAGTTTTTTTACTCATTACTGGGGCCGTAGCTGCGAGGGGCAAGGAGGGCAGCTGCCTTCCCCCTTAGATTTTGGAGCAAATAAAATACATGACTTGTTCCTCACTAAAAAGAGAATTTTCTAGTTCCAGAATGCTGTATGCTACTCAAAAAGTTGGCCTCAAAATACATCTCCTGCGATCCTATTTTCAAATCTTTCTGTGGGAAGACCCAACGACCCCCCACTTGTTTCTACCCCTCTTGATGCAAATCCTGGATCCCGCCACTGCCCCTCTAGGAATTTGCTCAGCCTACGGCCCTGCATGCATTACTGCACTACATGTATAGACATTGACAAGGACTTTTTGCTGGTGTTTACTGATGACGACGAAGGACGATGATGACTGTTGATGAAGATGATGATGGATCCCCCCCCCCCCCCCCTGATGATAGATTATAATGACAACGACGATGATAATGATGATGATGAGGATGTGATTTGCGATGATTGGTGACGATGGACGACGACGAGTGATGATGATAATTATTTCATGTATACACACCAGCATGCAACCCTATATCTCTCTATCTCTCTGTATCTCCTGCAGACTTGTCATGAGTTCATTACGATTGATGATGGTGATTGACAAAAATAGATGATCTATACACACCAATACCTCACATCGTTCCCCTCTCGTCCTGTTTCTCACAGACTTCTCGGGGTGCCTACGAGTCGCGACGCATTCGTTCACCTTCAAAATCACTCCGGTCGTCACCGCGAGGAACCTCAAGATCAACCGAACGACATCGCCTAGACGAGCGGTTGTCGCCTGAGAGACAAACCTACGTACCTGCGTCGTCGTCACTCCTTGCTGCAGTTACTACGGCAAGGGACGCCGCAGCAGTCGTGGTGAACGTGACACAGACGTTGGCATGTGAAGAAAGGCGGTGGACAGCGGTTGTTCTTCCAGCACAACGAAGGGAAGAACGTTGAAATCGTCGTTCATACGGCTTGATGAGGCGAAGACGAAGTGGTGCGAAGCTTTCCACGTTTATCTCCGGGTAGCGTGCATACTGTTACTCACTTGTTACATTAGTGTATCTCTCTCTCTCTCTCTCTCTGCTCCTCTCTTTCTCTCTCGTCTCTCTCCTTCTCTCTCTCTGCTCCTTCCTCTCTTGCTCTTTCTCTCTCTTTACTCTTTCTCGCCCTTCTTTTACTCTTCCTCTTCTCTTTCTCTATCTCACGTTATTCTCTCGCTTTCTCTTTCTCTCTCTCCTTCTCCTCTGCTCTTTTCTTCTCTCTCTTCTCTCTCTCTTTTTGCTCTCTCTCTCTCTGTCTCTCTCTCTCTCTCCTTCACCTCTCTCTCCTCTTCTCTCTCTCTCTCTTTTTACTTCCTCCGCCCTCTTTTACCCTCCTCTCCTTTCCTCTCTCACTTTACTTCTCTCCCTCTCTTTTACTCTCTCTCTCTCTCTCTCTCTCTCTCCTCTCTCTCTCTCTCTCTCTCTCTCTCTCTCTACTCTCTCTCTCTTCTCTCTCTCTCGTTCTCTCTCCGCTCGTCTCTCTCTCTTCCCTTTCTCTCTCTCCTCTCTCTCTCTCTCTCTCTTCTCTCTCTTTCTCTCTCTCTCTCTTCTTTCTCTCTCTCTTCTCGGCTCTTTCTCTGTCTCTCTTACTTCTCTCGCCCTCTTTTACGTCTCCCTCTCTTCCTCTCTCACTTATTCTTTCCTTCTCTTTTACTGTCTCTCTTCTCTCTCTTCTCTCTCTCCCGTGCTCTCTTGCTCGCGTCCTCTTCTCTCTCTCTCTTCCTCTCTCTCTGTCTGCTCTCTTTATGCCCTCATCCTTTTCAGAGTGAATCGCATACCATCATAACACACGGAAAAAGAATCGTGGTTCGTAATCATTTCTAATTAATTTAAAGGAAAAATTATTGCCTTCATAAATACAATAATAAAATAAATAATAAATAAAAACTAAATAAAATAATAACTAACTAACTAAATAACTAAAAAACGAACTATAACTAAATCACAAATAATTATAAATATTTGCAAGACGAACGTAAGAGACAGTTGAGTCCGATCACGGTGGAGGGGAAACAACATGGTGGCACGGAACCGGAGGACTCGCTCGGTTCTGCGTCTATTCCAGAACAGCAAAGGTGGACAACTTACGTCCACAAACAGGTGAGATCCATGACCGCCGTACCTAACACACGATGTGGTCTAGATCCACGATATAGCAGGTAATAGCATCCACATCCACAGACACATTATAATAGCATCCACAATCCCACCGACACGATATAATAATCCAGCTCCACTGATATGATGTGATAGACAGCTCTCATGATATGATGTGATAGGACCAGTCGCCATTGATATGATGTATAAAGACCCAGTCCCATGATATGATCGATAGACCAGCCTCCCATATTTGCATGTGATAGACCCAGCCTCATGAATATGATGTGATAGGACCCAGCTGCATGATGATGAGTGTTATCACCCAGGCTCCCATTATATGATGTGAATAGACCTAGCTCCCACCATATGACTGGTGATAGACCAGCTATCCCACGACACGACTGTGATAGACCTTAGCTCCCATGCGACGATGTGGATAGACCAGCTCCCACGATATGATGTGATAGACCCAGCCTCAACGACACGATGTGATAGGCACCCAGCTCCAGTGACCGATGTGATAGACCCAGCTCCCACGATATGACTTGTGCATAGACCCAGCTCTCACGACACGATGTGCTAAGGACCCAGCGCCCATGGAACGAGCTGGATAGACCCAGCTCCACGATAATCATGATGTGATAGACCCAGCTCCACGAACACGTATATGATATAAAAATTAATTAAAAACAAAAAGTAAATAGGAAATATTGGTGATAAAACAAAAAGAAATTGAGATGTATAGGAATTAATCCGTAAGTACATGTAGATGATTAGAGATCATGAACAGAGTACATGATTAGGAAACGCTACGTACGCACGACGCACGCACGCCACGCACGCACGCACGCACGCACGCACGCGCACGCTACGCACGCACGCACGCATCACACGCGCGCGTTACTTTACGACACGAGAATTAGACGAGAATCGGCAATTATCAATGAATAGAATGTAAACACCCAGCGCTCTAACGTGCTGTCTAATTGTTTACTAGGTAAATAACAGAAGGATTGCGGCAGGACAACATCTGCGTCCCTGACCTCCAGTGTGATCGCTAAACGTTAAGTACCGCCGCGGTAGCGTCATCGCTGGACATCGCCAACAAATACGCATGGGCAAATTACGTCATACATGCGATGTACGTACAGTACGCACAGACGCACTATAATGCACACACACACAGGCGGACACACACACACACCACAACACACACACACACACACACACACACACACACACACACACACACACGCACGCACGCCAACGCAATCACACGCCGACACACACACACACACACACACACCACGCACGCGCGCACACAACACACACACACACACACATCACACACACACACACACACACACACAACCACGCACCCTCCCCACACCGCCACTTCGTTTTTTGCATGGTGCAGTTGTTTTTCTACATCTTGACGTTTTATCGTGTTTACTGTGAGGGAAGATGAGATATAACGAACTACGGCAAAGCCAAGCAGCAAGCATGCATTGCTGATTATAATTATACTAACAGGCGTTAAGTTAGTTACTTGAACCAGCTGAAGATTGAAACGTAAGCTGTACGTTACCATCTTCCGTTTGGTAACAATTAACCTGGTTATAATATCCTAGCAGAAAGTATACCGCTAGAACCCAGCAAATGTTGTCTTATAAAATATAAACTCCATGTAAGTGACACATAAGTTTAAAATATTTTCATGTAACTGAAAAGAAAAACCACTGCACTGGGTACAACAGAACACTGGCACACTACTGGCCACTGGACTACTGGTGGGCAGTACGTGTATGTCAAAGCGGAGTTGAGCCAGGGGGGAATCTGCAGTAGGGGGGATCTGAGACGTAGCACCATCTATTGAGAATAGATTTTTGTTTGAGCCAGGAACCATCTGCCCGAGACGTTGGTGTTCTGAAATATGTCTACGCGGCAGCAGAGACGCAGTGTAAATTCCCACGTATGTGATGTGGATCTGCCTGTACGCCTGCCATTCTATTGGACGAATAGCATTTTTTTCGAATTTTTGACTTAATACTAATACTTAACTTAAAAAAAAAAAATTCTCAGCCAGAACCATCTCCAGACGTGGTGATTCTGAATATGATCTTGCAGTTAGCGCGATTGAGACAAATCAGGCGCAAAAACCGAGGACAAACAAACACACCACACACACGACACACAAGATTAGCCAATTATGTATAGATTATGTCTACACCGAATGAGACTTATTTAATGAGGCGTATGTGATAGTTTATCTTTCATCACGAAGGGAAACTATAGAACACTAAATACATAGAGACATAACTTAACCCTAACCCTAACACTAAATACATAGAAAGCATATAAATATATAGAAGCTTTTTACGCTCGTCAGTTTTTGCGTAGTGGTGGTGAGAGCTGGCTGGATCGCAGCAGGAGGCTTATATAGTTACACGCTTGCTCATAAGTAGGAGATATTTAATACCCCGTGTCGGTGGTCGACAAATGTCTCTCGGTCTTTCCTTCTTTCTTTCTCTCTCGCTCGCTCTCTCTCTCTCTCTCTCTCTGGCTCTCTCTCTCTTCCTCGGTCTCTCTCTCTCTCTCCATCTCTCCCCTGTTTTTTTCCTCGGTCTCTCTCTATCTCTCTCTCTCTCCCTCTCTCTCTCTCTTTCTCTCTCTCTCTCTCTCTCTCTCTCTCTCTCTCTTTCACCTCCTCTCGCTCACTCTCTTTCCCGTTCTCTCTCGCGCTCGCTTAATTTCTCTCTCGTTTACTAACAAAAACGATCAAAAACAAAAACGATCAAAAACAAAAACATAGCACCCAGTCAAAACACGGAACCTCATATCTGCGTGACTCAGGTTTTGCTTGAACCAACGCACCGCATATTTACATTTACATAGTTTTCACTGCTGGTTCCTGTTGTTGTTGTTGTTTTTGTCGGTGTCGACAAAAACAAATTTAAATCGAAGCTATTATATGGACCAGCTATTATATGGGGTTTTCATACTGTTGCCATTTCCTTTGTTGCAAGCTAACAGAGGAATAAGTTGACAAAACTGATGAATAAGAAAAAGCCATGATAAATTTATCTTCGGTTTAGTGTTAGTTACAGGCTAAGGTCGTGGCAAAACGTGTGGGCAGTAGAGTGAATCGAAGCGGTGTATACACTAGTTATTATAGCTGAAGGGGTCGTTGTCGTATATGTACCCGAGTATAGTACCCGAGGTGTCGGCGAGTATGTCGCCTACGCCTACTCCCTAACCCTAACCCTAACCCTAACACCCTAACCCTAACCCTAACCATATCAAATAGTTACCTCGGGTACATATTATACGCCATTATACGACAAGGACCCTTCGTGCGTCATTATATGTCAATGATAAACGTTGATAATGCTGAACATTACAGGCTGACAGAGGAATACCAGATAGGCACCAGCGATGACATATTCCTGGACATTAGTGTAGTAAATGCGAACGAGGATGCGTTCGAAGCTCAGGTGTTGGTGGCCATGCCGGATGGAGTAGACTTCATCAAGCTGGTGAAAGGGACAGGCGATGTAAGAGCATAGACTATATACACGAGAGTATACACTGTGCGAGTTCTACATTTTCTATATTGTCGTCCTCATTGTGATCCGCATCCTCCTTCTCCTTCTCCTCCTCTTCCTCCTCCTCATCATCATCATCATCTTCCTCCTCATCATCATCATCATCCTTTTCATCCTCCTCATCATCACCATCCTCCTCCTCCTCCTCCTCCTCCTCCTATTCCTCCTCCTCCTCCTTCTCATCCTCATCTGCATCCTCATCCACATCCTCATTTTCCTCCTCCTCATCCACATCCTTATCATCATCATCATTCTCCTCCTCATCTTCCTCCTCCACCACCACTACCTCCTCCTCCTCCTCCTCCTCCTCTTTTCCCTTCTCCTCATCTGCTTTCTCCTCATGCTTCTCCTTCTAATCTTCATCATGTCCAGGGTTCGGGTTAGAGATTATATATAACTATGCCGTTTATGCTGAAATTCCTAAAAGGCGCAAAGTGTGTTGCAAATAGTTATTAAAAAGGTTATGTGGTCTTATATCTTTATAAATGGTCTTATAAGGTAAAAAAAAAAAAGGTAGAAGATATATTAAATTGACAACGTCACGAATTATCTGATGTATACTTTTAAAAACGTTGTTGCCTTTTTTTTAGATTAAAAGTAAGTACTAACGGGACTAAATGTGTCGCCAAATTCTTACCTGATAAGATTGTTTCTCAACTAGTTAAAAATCCAAAAACCTGGACGATTTGACATTATGATCTTGACATTAATGCTTGCTATGGGCTATGTATGAGTTACGAGTGTATGTTTACATCGAACAATATAGTAAAATGGGAATTTAACCATAAAAAGTGAACAGAATTACATACATTTTGTGAAAAAGTGAAAGAAAAATTTTCATTCAATCAATCTTCAAAAAATCACTTTAAAACTACCCGCCATATTGTTATACACGCTGCGTACCTATAGGAGGATTGTGACGTGTTGGGAAATGACACAGTGAGTACTAACGAATTAGTTGACAATAACAAAACATTAACATATGATAGTTAATTTACTCTCGCTATATTCCTTGCGTTCTTTCCCCTCCTCTATTCATATTCTTATTCATATTCTATTCTATTCTATTCTATTCTATTCTATTCTATTCTACATCTACGTCATGTTTCATGTATCGTGTTCGCAGGTGATTCTAGCCGAGGATGTAAGCAGACGACTTCACGCGTTCGGTTACTCTCTTTCCATTCCATTCCTTTCATCCTATTTCATTCTATTCTATTCTATTCTATTCTATTCTATTCTATTCTATTCTATTCTATTCTATTCTATTCTATTCTATTCTATTCTATTCTGTTCTATTCTATCTACTCTACAG